TGTGTGTGTGTGTGCACGTTAGCATAAATTACATGTATAATACATTCTTAGGCCTAATTAAATAGTAAATGTTGTTTCTTGTTGTTTGTTGTCGCTGTTGCATTACAAAATCAACTAGCACAAAGCAGCTGCCGCCCAACAAAAAAAATACATATATATATATAAGAAGACACTACTTATATGTACACACATACACAGAGGTACATATGCATGCACATACACACATACATATGTATTTGCATTCTGGGCTTAAATCATTTACATGGCTAACTTACAGCTTACAAAAAATAGTATTAAGAAGTACATACACAATTTGAACGAAAAAAAAAATAGATCTATATATATATATATGTGTATATATATAGTAGTTTCGGCCCAATTTCATTTATTACATAGGTTAATTTTTATTTTGTAGCTTATTTATATTCGTATAGTACAATTTTATAGGCTAACGACGTACATAGAGACATAATTGTTTTTTTTTTATTTGTTTTTTTTTTTGTATTTGTTTCGATATATAAATATTTAATTATTATAAACGAAACACAAACACAAAAGAAGAATACACAATATGCGATGTCTTAAAAGTAGAGGCGATGCGTGTGTGTGTGTGAGAGAGAGAGAGTGTGTGTGTGTGTAATGAATGAGAAACAAAGAGAATGAGCATAAGGAAGAGAGAGGTTGTTATGCGAGTTAAGAAAGTAAATACGTTGCCAGACGACTCTGTTGGACTTATTAAATGGCCAGTGGCAACGCCAAAAGTTTTGCATACAATTTAAAAATTAAAAAAAAGGTTAAATTAACTAAAATGCAGCTAAGAAACTCCAAATGTATGTGTGTTTGTTTGTTGTTGTTGTGTGTTCGTGTGGGTGTATGTGTATTGTGACTTATTCGCTAATTTAAACAAACTCAACTTAGGCATAAACATAAATTTGTTGATCATTTTGTTGTCATGTGTCCGTAACATATTTATCTTGCGTTCGCTTAAGTAACATAATTATTGTGGGCATTAAATTAAGTTGTATTTATATGAATATAAAACAATTAAAGATAAAACAAAAAAAAAAAAAATTGCATTAATATTAATATATATAATCAATTAACATACGCCCAACCGCATACATATACAAAAATAGCTTGTGTTTTTGCTTGTTAATACTATGCACTTGCGTGTGTGTGTGTGGGGTGTAGATGTGTGGTGGGTACATGTGTGGTGTGTAGGTGTGTGGTGGGTAGATGCGTGGGGGATTGCTTTTTAGGCAGGGCTGCTGGTTTAGGATTGGTCGAGGGATTGGTAGTACGGAGGGGGAAGGGGGGGGGGGGGCGACCCGCGCTTACTACAAGTCCGTTAAAGTGCGCTTGGCACAATAACGTATAACCCCCACTCAGGCAACAACCGGCGGCGGAGCTATGCCAATTGCTGTGGCTGTTGTTGTCGTTGTTGTTGCTGTTGCAGCAACTGTTGTTGTTATTGTTGCTGTTGCAGCAACTGTTGCTGCTGCGACTGAGTTGGAGCTGTTGCTGTTGGCGGGCGTTGCAATTATTGTTGCTGCTGCTGCTGCTGTCGACGCATCATTAAAGCTGCTGCTGCTGCTGCTGCTGGACTGCATTATTGCCATGTCCTGGTTTCTGTTTAGCGCCTGCTGTGGCATACGCTTGCCACCAATGGGCGGCAGGATGCTGCCGCACGCAATTGCCTCTGCTGCCAGCGGCGGCGCCATGTTGCTGCTGCTGCAGCTGCTGCTTCTCGGACTGAGCGCAGCTGCTGCTGCATCTGTCGTGCCATTGGCCTGCACTGACAGCGGCAACTGCGCAGCCGATGATGTTGGCGAATTTGCGCAGCTATTGTTGCTGTTGCTGCCGCTGCCGCCGCTGACGTTGACGCCGACGCCGCAGCTGTTGGGCGTTGTGGGCGGCGTTCGCTTGGTGGGCTTGGCGCGTGCACAGGGCACACAGAGCATGGCGCAGTGTTCGCGCAGTTTGGTGATGTGATCGATGCGATACTCGTTTATCCATTTGACCTTTTTGTGTTTAACTGGTTTCACGCATTTCTCGCCCCCGCTGCCGACGCCGACGCCGACGCCGCCGCCTGGCGACAGCAGCGACGCCTGCGGCAGACCCTCAGGGCGCGTGGCGCCGCAGCGCATGCAAATCGAGCAGCGTTCACAGCTCCAGCGACCTAAAAGGCAAACATTTAACGTTATATATGATATATATGTAGTTCCAGGTGGGAGACTCACCTTCGGGCACCGTTTTGACGCCCAGGCAGTAAATGTGATAGCCGCGATCGCATTGCTCGCAGTAGAGCATTTTTCCCGGCTGCTGGCTGCTGCCGCATTTGATGCAGCATTTGCAATCCGCGCACTGCCAATTGTAGTTGCGCACACGTCCGACCATCCGGTGCGGCATCTCAATACAGCTGGGATGCACTGTAAATTAAAGGAATTGAACAATTTGCTTCAAATTAACAATATTTTCTTTAACGAAACTCAACGAACTGCACCTTATTGGTATTGCCAGACTGCATATAAAAAATGCCCAATTGGCAATATTTCAAGTTCGTTAAGTTTAATTTTACAAAAGCGTTGCCAGCTTTTCTGGTTTAGCGTCGAAACTGATCTACTTTTTTTTTTTTTTAAGTGAAATAACGGAAACGGGGAGATTTATGACGTAGCTACATTTCCCTCAACTTGGGCCAACTTGGGCAAAAGTCCCCTCAATATCCCATGTGGGATAAATGTGGAGCCCTTCACTTACCTCTGCGCCGACAGCTGTAGCAGCGTATAAAGGCCTCGGGCATATTTCTCGCATTGCGATGCTGTGTGCGCTGGCAGACGCCGCAATTGGACGACAATCTGGCATCCTGTTCGCGTTTCTGCTCAGTTTCGCTGGCGGAGTTAATGGAACTGTTGTTGCTGCTGGTGCTGCTGTTGCTGCTGCGACTGCTGCGGCTGCTGGCGCTGCTACTGCAGCTGCTGTCGCTGTCCGCGTCGCTGTCCTATACATGTGCAATAACAAATATGCATGAGTGAAAGCTGTACATGTGTGTGTGTGTATATATGTGTAATTGTAACTTACAGATTCGCTGCTGCTGGCTTCACTGCTGCTGCTGCTGCTGCTGCCGCTGGCGTCGGAGGCGTTGCTTGTTTTGGCCGGATCATTGTTGCGCTGCTGTCGCGAGCGCTGACTGCGCCGCAGCGCCGCTGTCTGCGCTTTCGTTTGCGCAGCTTTGACGCCCTCGAGCAGCAACAGCTGTTCCTGCTGCTTCGGCGGCTTATCCAGCGCTGTATTCAGCGGGTATGCCCTACAAAAGGAAGGGGTATATTAGTTTTGTATGCCATTTGTGCAATTATGAAAATTAACATGATTTTAATTTAATCGCATCGGGATATATAATATGGCACTTATATATATATATATTATAATGAGTGTAAGCGTATTTCAACTTCGGCTTGACTCTTTTTTTTTTTTTTGATCATTTCTCACCTCAGCTCGGCAGGCGTTAGCCGGCGATAGTTGGACGTAAATTGGCCTGGCACCAGGGCCAGCGGATAGACATAATCGGAGTCCTGGTAGGCGGCATCATAGATCCGCGGCGCCAGCAGCTGCGGCGGCACCGGCATATTCTCTGCCAGCGCCGCTTCACGCACCACATTCGTGATGGAGCGATGCAAGAGGGTGGAACTGGCAGCGGTGCGCGGCACCGGCAAATTCATGGTGAACGTTTGCAGATCCAGGCAGGCGACACGCTCCTCCTTGCGCCTACGGCATACGCCAAGGAATGTAAAGATTTAGTATAGCGTATATCAGGAAATGATTCGTCCAGGGGACTTACGTCTTGTTGAAGTACACATTCCATTTGCTGGTGGAGAGCATGGCGCGATCGCGTGCCTGCAGGCCACGCCCATTGCCGACAGTAAGGCCGAGCGCCTTCTGTTTGGCCTCGATGTCACGCAAATGCTTCTGGCGTATGTACTCCTTGTACTCCTCGTATTTGTCATAGAAATCGGCATACATGATGTCCAGTATGTCGGAGGCCCAGACTGCGGTGATGCCCAGATCGCACATCTTTTCGCTGACCAGGCCCTTCTCCTGCAGCCAATTGCGCTCCTCCATGTCGACGGCGCGACGCGGCAAATCCGGATATTTGCGCTTAAAACTGGTGATGCCCAAATAGAGGGCCACCTGTTCCTGTATCATGAAGGTGTCGCGATTCTTGGACGGGCAACAGCCCTTCGGCGGCGGCCAATCATATTCCGCAATGCTGGATGCCTTGAAATCCGTACTGCACAGACGAGAGCGTAAAGTATATGGTTAGTTATTGCAGCTGGCCGGGTGTGTGGAGGGGGGGGAATGGACAATTTGGTACTCACTCTTCGGCCACGCAAATCTCCATTTTCTTCTTCTTGGGTCGCTTCAGTGCCGAGCCGAGTATTGCGTCCACAGATTGACCCTGATTCGAGTCCAATAAACTGACGCCGCTCAACATGGACGATTGCGACTCCTCGTTGTTGAGAAAGTCCGGTTGCCTGAGCGAGTCGCAAAAAAACAGTAAAGAAATGAAATAAGCACTCAAAATAATAATACTCACTTTTGTGGCGTTAACGGCGGTTCCATGCTCGTCACCGATTGATTGCTGTTATTCAGATCGGCGCTCATGCGTGTGTCCTCCTCGAACACCTGCGGCGACTGCAAAACAACAACAACAAAAAGCATTGAAAAGACATTAACCAAAATTGTGTTTTCTTTTCTCTTAGTTTTTTGTTTGCAAATTTGTGCATTGATTTTGGTTGCTGCGACGCCGGCAGCGCCAGCGTGAGAGCATAAGAGACGGGCAGCGCAACAACTCAAGAGAGCGCTGTGTGACAGCGTTGCCAGCATGCATGATAATAACAACAACGCCAACTGTGTGTGTGTGTGGGTAAGCAAGCGCGCACATGCTGAGCTCTCCTCAAGCAGAGAGACAGACAGAGAGAGAGAGAGAGACAGAGCAGCGACGCAGCAGGTGTGGTGAAGTTGGCTTTGCTTGCCGCTGTCGCAGCATTGCTATAGACACACCAATAGAGAGCAAGAGCGAACAAAAAAAAAAAAAAAACAGAAAACAAAAAAAACAACAAAAAATGTTCAGCTGATTAAAATCACAGGTGAGGAGACAACAACAACAACAACGCGTTTCGGCTGCTGCTGCTGCAGCGCTGCTGACTTCGGTCGCGTGCTGCTGCTGTTGTTTTTGTTGTTATTATTATTATTGTTATTATTATTATTGCTGCAAACGTATGCGTTTTGTTTTTGTTGGCAGTTGGCAATGAATGCAGCGCGCGAGCGCCTTTGATTTTAATTACGACACAACACTGTTGGCGTGTCTGTGTGTGTATGAGTGTGTATGTGTGTGTGTGTGTGTGTGTGTGTATGCTTGCGTGTGCATGTGAGCAAAATTTACGTAATAAAACATAAACAAGTTGCATTGGGTGAAACAATGAAAAATATCATATAAATATGATAGAGCACAGCCACAAGACACACAAACACACACACACATAGAGAGAGAGAGAGAGCGAGCGAGCGGGACAGAGACAGTACGGTATCCTTTGAATGATTCATGCCAAAGAAGAGACACAAAGAAGAAACAGCTATAAAGTAGCTTTCGATACTGCAGAGCGTGTAACGAATTGCAAATACCCTGTTTTTGGGGCAAAACTTATGTTTGATCAAAATACTAATATATATATATATATAAAAAATTGTACATTTCTCAAGATAATAATATAAAAAATTGTTAATAAAATAAATAAAGATATTTGGAACTTTTGCCCACAAAGGTAGTGTATGTAGTGTAGTGTAACCGGGAACTATAAGTGACAGATACAGAAATTTTGATATATACACTCTCATAGGCGATATGCCAATATCTAAACAAAATAAGTACGAGGTACTAGTCGGGAGCTCCCGGCTAGGGTATACCCTGCACCCTCTTCCTCCAACATCAAATGCACATATATATTCTATTTTAGAAGCTATATGTCAAGTTTGGTGACTCTAGCTCTTATTATTTACCAAAAAAAAACGGTATATCGATATCGATTTTTATCGATTACTTGGAAACGGAGCAAGTTATCGATTATCGGAAAGAAACTCGAGCTGCGCAGGCACCAGGAGGACCTATAGCTCTTATAGGTTCTGAGATCCTTTCGTTCATACATACGGACGGACAGACGGACGGACGGACAGAGACAGAGACGGACATGGCTAGATCGACTCGGCTATTGATGCTGATCGAGAATATATATACTTTATGGGGTCGGAGAAGTTTCCTTCTGCCTGTTACATACATTTGGATTTTGCACAAATATACCCATTTTGAATGGGTTCGGGGTATAAAAAGAGCTCGAACCCAGGGAACTAAAAGATCTAGACTTATGGAGCTCAAAAAGTACCCAAAACTTGGGCTCTTGGTTGATGAATATATAAAGAATACAACTTGTTGGCTGCTTACCGGACTAAAGAAGCCCTTGAGCCGTTCCGGATCCGGCTGGTGCTTGAGTCCGCCCACACATCTCGGCCGGCTCTGGGCGATGGCCTTGGCCACGGCGCTGGCGCCTCGACTCATGCGCGGCACACGCGGCTGTGCCGCATTATTTGTGCTGTTGCGACCCGAGGAGGTGGATGAGCCGCCGGCGCCACCCCTAGAGCCGCGTCCACGTCCGCGTCCGCGCGTTGGGGTAACAGGCGCCGCTGGACTGCTGCCAAAGCCGCTCAAGAGTTGGCCCGGGGTCGAGGATTCATCTGAAAGGCAAGAGCGTATAGATATGTAAGAAATGGTATTCGATTCTGGGCATGGATCAGAGGCTTACCACCCGAGTTCTCCAGTGCGCTGTAGTTGTCCTCGTCCTGCGAATCATGCTGGCTGTTGTTGTTGTTGCTGTTGTTGCTGTTGTTGTTGTTGGTGCGCAGCTGCTGTGTGGCTGTTAGAGATGAGAAATCGTTGGGCTGAAAGATGACATCCGGCAGCGGATCGGAGGAGGATAATATTGTTGTTGGCGGCAGCATAGAACAAATGCTGCTGTCGACAGTTGCTGCTGCCGCCGCCGCCGCCGCCGCAGCAACTGTTGTTGTTGTGATTGCGGCGCTGCCATTGCTGGTGGAGGATGAGGATGAGCACATGGTTAGATCGATTTGTGTTGCCAGAGCATAGGCCATGCCATTGTTGTTGCTCTCCACGGTCGTGTTGCTGCCAAAGCGCGGCATCATCCCAGCAGCAGCAACTGTTGCTGCCGTCGCCGCCGCCGCAGCAGCAGCAGCAGCAGCAGCTGTTGCAGCTTTGCTTTGACGCTTGCGCGTTACTTTTGCTGGCGTTCCGGCTGCTGTTCCGGCTGGTGTCGCTACACTGCGTCGCGTGGCGCGCAGCGGCCGCTGCTCGTTCCGTCGCGTTGGCGTTGTCATCGAAGCCGCCGTCGTCGTCGTTGTCGCCGTCGTTGCCGCCGCCGCCAGCAACTGCTGTGCGGCATGCTCCACGCCGGGATTGAGTTCCGTCGTGGTTGCCGCATGGTGCGCTGTTGCCAGCAGCTCCGGCTGCTCCGCACTGACCATGTCGATGGCCAAACGCTTGCGCAGCAGCTGCACACGTCGCGACTGCACCGCACTGTCCGCCTCCAGCAGGGTTTCCGTTACTGTTGCCGCTGCCGCTGCCGGAGCGGGCGTCAGCTCGTTGGCATTGCGCTTGGGTCGACCCCGCCGCCTGACCGTGCTCACGGGCAGGGGTGTTCCTGTTCCTGTCCCTGTCCCGGCCAACGGCGTCGACACATGCGCCTCCTGCTGCTCGCTGTAGACAGACGCCGCCGCCGCCGCTGCCGCTGCTGTCGCCACCGCCAGACGCTCCTCGGCCAGCAACAGGCTGCCATTGCTGAGCGCGTGCTCCATGTGCGCCGCCGGCTGTTGCTGTGCCTCCTCGAGTTCCGTGTTGAGTATGCGTTCGTGTTTCTGCTTGCGACTGCGATGCGTTGGCTGTTGTCCAGTTACTGCTGCTGTTCCCGCTACCGCTGCTGCTGTTGCGCCGGCAGCAACTGTTGCTGGCGTGTCATTGCTGCAGTTGTGCGTCTGCTGATCGTTTTCATTGTTGTCCAGGCGCCGCTGTTTACTTGGCGGCAGCTGTAAAAGCCAAAGGGAATATCGAAAAATTGCAATTAGTTTAGGTTTTTTTTTTTAAATCAAAATGAACCGGTTCAAAGGCGAGGTTCAAAAAGTGGTTCAGCCACAAATCTTTTTGTTTAGATGTATTTAAAAAGCTTTCTTTTAATTATTATTATTATTTTTTTATTATTATTATTTTTTTTATTATTATTTTTTTATTATTATTTTTTATTATTATTTTTTTTTATTATTTTTTTTATTATTATTTTTATTATTATTTTTTATTATTTTTTTTTATTATTTTTTTTTTAATATTGTTTTTTTATTTTTTTTTTTTATTATTATTATTTATTTATTTTTTAATTATTTTTTTTTTATTACTATTATTATTATTTTTTCTTTTTTTTTATTATTATTTTTACTTTTTATTATTTTTCTTTTTTAATTTAATGGTGCTCGGATAAGCTTCCCTCTGCTAGTCACATTCATATGCACAACTGCAGTATACCCTATTTGAACTATTGTGAATTGGAACAGGGTATACAAATAGCATTCAGGCAGCTAAACATTTTCATATATGGAGAACTATGCGGGAATCTATAAACTGCGGTTGATTTGTGTCAATAACTGTCAGTTTCTCAGAATCGATATATTGATCGATATTATACAAATGTTATCGGATAGTTATCGAGAGAAGGAAAGATGTGCTGCTCCCTATCCAAGTTGTCTCCTCTAAATTTTTAAGCATTTTCATAAATGGATTTTTATACGAGCATCTTTAAACTGATTTTTCTCAGAATCGATATATTTGTCGATATTTATCGATATCATACAACTGTTATCGGACAGTTATCGAGAGAAAGTAAGATGTGCTTGTCCTCTAAATGTGTAGAAGAAGCTTCCCCCTGCTAGTTACATTCACATGCCCAACTGCAGTATACCCTAGCTATTTTGAATGGGCAGAGGGGTATACTAGATTTTGCATATATGGACTACTCACGCCGCTGGGAGATTCTGGCTCGGTTTGTAGATGTTGCTGGTGCTGCAGCTGCAGCTGTTGCTGCTGTCGCTTCAAATGGTTCTCGTTGTTGTTGTGCAGCTGCAACTGTTGCTGCTGCTGCTGCTGCTGATTGTCTGGCTTGTGATTTCGATTTCGATTTCGATTAAGATTCATGTGATTCAGATGATTGCCGAGCTGCGTCTCCTCCGACTCGTAGGCACTTTGCGTCGTTTGTGAATGCGGGCTGCCCTCGGGCGTATCTAGAATCTCAATGGAATCGATAATCGGCTGCTGTGCGGCAGCAACAGCAACAGTTGCTGCTGCCACAGTTGCAGCAACATTTGCTGCTCCATTGGCCATCAGACGTTCGGTTAGCTGAGGATATTTTGAGGCAGCTGTCGAATTGTTGCTAAAGCTCTTGGGCGGCGCTGTCAGCTGGCTGAGCAGTATATTGGAGTTGGGTGAGGCGGGATTGCTGCTGCTGCTGTTGTTGTTGTTGTTGTTATTGTTGCTGATGTTGTTGCTGATGTTGCTGCCAGTTGTTGCTGCTGCTGCTGCTGCTTGCATTTGCAGGCACTCGAGCAGCAGATTTTGCGATTGAGCTGTGGACAGGCTGCGATTTATTGTTGCTCCTGCGTAGTTATTGCTGTTGACATGCGCCGGCGAGTTGCCCGGCGAGGGCGACGAGGTCAGATCCACCATGTCCACAATATTGTGTTGCTGCTGCTGCTGCTGTTGCTGCTGCTGTGCAATGCCATTGCTGCTGTGCGCCGGCGCCGGCAGATTGTGAAACATTTTGGGATCATGCTCCTTGGAGAGCGCATCATCAATGTCCATATCATCGGAATTGCGACGCAGCTCATCCGCTTCGCTGTCAACAGCAGCAACAGTTGCTGCTGCAACATTTGCTGCTGCAACAGTTGCTGCTGCTGGCATCTCGCCGCCATTGGTCAGCGTCAGCTTAGAAGATGAGCTGGAGTAGCTGTTGATCTTCTCCTCGAGCACGGCGCGCACCTTGTGCTTGGGCGAACACAGATTCTTGATGGTCAGCTTGAGATGCGGCTGCTGTTGCTGTTGCTGCTGCTGCTGTTGCTGTTGCTGCTGCTGATCGGTGCTGTTGTTCGTCTTGATGGTCAGCTTGGGCACCAATTGTTGCTGCTGCTGCAACTGTTCCTCATCCTCCAGCTCAATTGACTTGGTCTTGATGGTCAGCTTGGGTATGGACTGCGCATTGTTGGCATCGTGCGTCATGATCACCGTGTGCTGCGCCTGCAGCTGCACCAGCTCCTGGTTGCCGCCCGCCGTCTTGATGGTTAACTTTGGTATTATTTGTTGTTGCTGCTGCTGTTGCTGCTGATCGTCGCTGCTGATGCAGCTGCTGCCGGCGTGCGTTGTCTTGATCATCAGCTTGGGCACCGTGGGCGTCTGTTCGCCGCCGGAGTAGCTTGAACTGGATGCCGATGAGCTGGATGCGGCCGATGCTGGCGATAGACTGCAGCTAATTAGCTGCGTCTCATTGCCGCCATCCAATTTGGTCGTCTTGATGGTCAGCTTGGGCACGGGCGCCGCAATTGTTTTCATTGGACTATGGCAATTGCTGGCTTCGCCACCTCCAGCTGCTCCTGCTCCTGCTCCTCCGCCTCCTCCGCCCGCATCGGGCATCTTGATAATGAGCTTGGGCACCACGCTGCCGACACGCTCCTCGTTGGCGGCGCGTATCGTCAGCTTGGGCACAATGTGCGGCAGCTGCTGCTGCTGATGCTGCTGCTGCTGTTCCTCATCGGCGCACGACGAGGACGAGCACGATGACGATGCATCCGAATTTGTTGCCATATCCGGCTGTTGCACCTTCAACGGCCTTATCGTTAACTTCGGCACAACAACCGGCTGCCCAACGATGCCCTGCAACAGTTGAGACGCATTTGTTGCTGGCAACTGTGCGGGCAATTGTATGCGCAGCGGCTCGACGCGTCGCTCATCGTTGACCCCCAGAGATTCGGTTGTCTGGCTGCCGTGCTTCGAGAGCTTCAGTATGAGCTTGTGACTGCCGCTTCCGCTCCCGCTGCTACCGCTGCTGCTATTGTTATCCTCGCCATTCACATCTAAAGCTGTGGCAGCCATTGCTGCTTCGCTTGTTGTTGCTGCTGCTGCTGCTGCTGCTGTTGCTGCTGTTTCTGTTGTTGGCGCTGTGCTGTTGCTGCTGCTGCTTGGGCTATTTGGCAGCTGCGCATCGTCGCGCAGTCTGTGCTGCGGCGGCGATGCTGTGGTGCTGGTTATTTGACCCACCAGCTGCTGCTGCTGCTGCTGCTGCTGCTGATGTTGCTGCTGCTGTTGTTGTTGGCGCTGCGCAGTTGCTGCTGTCGACACATTCAATTGTTGTTGCTGCTGCTGTCGCTGTGCCGGCGACGATGTGGAGCTAACCACTTGCTGCTGGTCCTCCTCTTCTTCCTGTAGCTGCAGCTGCTGCCGCTGGACACTGCTGCTGCTGCTGCTGCTGCTGCTGCTGCTGCCGCCGCCTGTTGCTGCTGTCGTCGTCGTCGCTATGGCTGACTTGCAATTGGAACCGTTGCTCGAATTCGAATTCGAATTGGAACTGGAACGTGGACTGACGCTGGCGCTGGAACTGTTGCTGTTGATGTTGTTGTTGTGGCTGCTGCTGTTGCTGCTGCTGCTGGTGCTGCTCGTGGAGCTGTTGGAGCAGAGAGGCGTTGCTGCCAGGCTAACTGAGGATGATGTTGCTGCTACCTGTACCTGTTGCTGGCGTAAATCATTCATTGCTTTATTCCTTTATCCACACCAAAACGCGGTTTGCTTTTGCCTAAAAAATACACAATTAAAACAAATTATTAGTGATGAATTTTACAACAAAAAATTATGTTATGCAGTTACAAAGTTTTGCTTTTACATCAAAACGCATTACTTTCGTTAAAAACTAATCGAAGGTCTTCTTCTTCTTTAACGAAAGCGAATAAAACCAAAATAGAGAAGAGCCAGCAACAAAATTAACTGTTCATATGCTGAGCAGAAAAACAACAAAAGTATCGATACTTTAGGCGCGCTTCACACAGCTCGCGCTCTTTAGAGTTTTGACTGCGCTTTCGTTCAAAATTGGGCCGACTGCAAAAATCGAAATATCGCTCAACACATGCTATCGCTATCGCTATCGGCTAGAACCGATCGTGCAATACCCTGCACAATACAGCATAACAACAATTAAGAAGTCGAAAAGGGCTGCCACATAAACTTGTCACTCTGTAAGTAGCAGTTCGATTCAAACTGTAAATAAAAAAAAATTTCAAAATATGCCAAACAAAAAATAAAATATGCAAAGGGCAGCACGGCAAAGCAAAGATCGACAAACTTGATTGTTATCGATAAATATCGCGCAAAACTTTAATACACAATTCTCGATTACAGTTGACTGGTAACACTTTGTAAATCCGGCCAGATCATTGTAAAAAAAAAAAGAAAATAATCAGCTCAGCTTACGAAAATTTATCGTGTGAATGTTGTAAATTATATTATTTCAAAGCAGACCTCTGGCCTCAGCCATTGGATCAAAATTGTACTGGTGGTTAAGGTGATAACACACAGCATCAAAATCAAATCTCAACATATACGTATTTGTTTCACTTGCATTACAGAAATTATTTATATGTTGCTGCAGTTGATATTAGCGCCGATATGGCAACCCATGAAGGATCAATTGAGCCTGTTTCGGGCTCTGGCAACGGGCGGACGGATACCGGGCACCAATCTGGTACTGATGCCGGTACCAGGCGGCAGATGTCGCTTTGACCTAATCGAACACATTATGATGGCCCTCGCCGGCGCCTGGCTGGTGTTCCGTGTCATCTGCTGTGAACTGGCCATCGAGGATAGGCAGCCGCCGGCCATGAGACGGCAGCGCAAGAACGCCAGCAATGTGCGACAAACGGAAGCGGAAACAACCACGGCGTGCTCCATTGAAGCCAACCATATTATGTTGGTGCAGCAACAAAAGGAGCCGGTGCCGGAGACAGACGCATTGCTTGAGACGGAGGAGATGTTCTATTGGGGCTGCCAGCGGTTGCGCAGACATCAACCGATACTTAAATTTACGCGCACTCAACTAGACAAATTGTTGCGCTTGGAGCGGAATGCTGATGACTACGACGACAACGACAACGACGACGTTGATGATGATGATGATGATGATGATGATGTTGTTGAAGAAGCAGATGATGAAGCAGATGGAAATGATGCTGATAACAATGTCGATCCCGATGACAACAAAACAGAGAATTTAAATAGTGAACAAAATAGCATAGTTAATCCGTCAGCGTACGTCGAAGATTTCGAGGCGCATTGCAATTCCACAAGAAATCCAGCCGCAGCACAAGAGAAACATGTAGAATTGAGAAGAGTGTAAGATGATGCCCAATTGTCTGCATATGTGAGTGTGTCTGTGCCGCTATGTGTGTGTGTGTCTCTCTGTGTGTGTGTATATATGTGTGTTTGTGTCTCAATTTTGTTGAGCGCGGGTGAGGCTGTTAGTGGAGCTGTGTGTGTGTGTGTGTGGGAGGGTGAAGGGCAAACCAAATAATAATGCTAAGCGTAGCGGGTTCATGTTGCTGCCCCACCAAAAGGAGAACGAACTCGGCACGCGCTCACACATACACATACACACATGCACATGCATGCAAAAAAACAAACACAAACACACACACACGCATACAGTACACAAACCAAACGAAAGAAACGGCAAGAAATTTTCTCGCTGTGCACAATATTTTGACAACGGAAGACTTCAATACAAATTGTTATAATTCATATGCTATTATTGGAATCATACAACAATTATTCCACTACAAAAAATGCATGTATCAAAACTCAAGCATTGACTCTCTCTCTCTCTCTCTCTCTTTAATATGTATGCGTGTGAGTGAACCGTTACTTCAAAGTGCCGCCCCTGTGTTTGACGTTCATAAGCTACAAAATATATACAACTTACAACAACTAGCGGCAATTACAAACACAAACAACAGTAATTAATTATATACATATGTATGTATATGTACATAGAGCGGGGCAAGAGTGTGCGTATGTATTGTTTTGTTTTCGTTTTCCTATTGCACTCTCGCTATTTACGCAAATATGTAGTAACTGTTACTTAAGCTTCGAGTTGAAAAGCTTTCAAACACATTCATTCACCGGCAAACATAGTGGGGAAGAGTAAAAACGCAATGTGCTTATTGTTTGTTATTTATAGACAAAAAAAAATAAATAAAAAAAATGGACGATGGGAATATTTTAATAAAAGCCCGGGCTTTTCATTTTTGCTTATGATAGTGGACATAGAAATTGCCGCGTAAACAGTAACGCACCGCCAAAGCACAGGGAAACCTGCAAAAAGCGACAAAAACAACAACGACGACGTATACCCTTGTTAATAATACGCTGCGTAAGCGTGGAAACATGCGCGGCACACAGCTGTCTGTCGAGAGCAGCAGAAATTGAGAAAACCGCGCCACATTGGTACGCACTACTACAGCAACAACAAATGACAGCGACTGCGACGTGGTGTATGTGTTGGCAACACTGCCAAATTCACCAGGGGCCCGAGCCAGAAACTCACCACAGCGCACACACACACACACGCGCACACGAACCAATACCAGCATGAAAGGCAATCGCCCGTGCCGCTGCATGGAGAAAAATACATATATACATGTGCACAATATATATATATACACACACACACATACATATGCATTGTACTTTTATACATGCATCTGCATTGGCGACCCCCGCGCAACTCACGGCAACGGCGCCTGTGCAACAACAAATATTAACTGCGGCAGAATCAACAACAAATGCTGCGTGCGCTGCGCGCCTAAGGCAATGCAAAAAAAAAAAAAAACCAGCGAGGTCTTTGGGAAAAAAAAACAGTAAGACGCAGCTACATAGCAAAAGACGCCGAAAACGGACCCAACAACAACAGCAGGCTGGCTGGCTGGCAGGCAGGCAGGCAGGAAATAAACTCACCATGCGGCAAAACGTCAGACAAAAGAAGATGGAGTAGAAGTTGAGCGCCTTCTCTTTGCATGCAATTCGCGTGTATATTGGTGTGCGCGTGTATCTTTGTCGGTGTGTGTTAAGACATGGAGCATGTTTTGTTTTTATTTGCACACTTTGTAAACATTTCGTTGCACTTTTTCGTACTATTTATTTAATATACAAAAAAAAACATTGTCGTACACATTGACGTGAGACTGTAGTCGGTACAAATTACCCGTACTTGTACTCGTCTCGCACACACACACACACACACAGTACACACCGCACACAAACATACACACTATACACACACACACGCACACACAGCGCACATACACCAACAAGCGCAGCGCTCGGTTGTCCCACTTTCCGTGTATTGGTTTCGTACACTTTTCCACGCACTTTTTAACGATTGAGCAGCAGCAGACGACGACGCATAAATTTGTTATAAAAAAATAACGTTAATTGTTAACTGTTTGAACTGGTCGTAGAACATACGCAATATTACATCGGCGCGCACCTATCGTTTTAACAATTCATTATTAAATGTATGCCCTGCTCGCTGTCTGACAGTGTTTTTTCTTTTTCGCTTGGAATATAACACTACCGTACTCGTCACGACAAAATGGAAATGAAAATGTAGGGATGTTGATAGCATATCGATACATCGATAGTTCATCTGTTACTAACAAATTCGCTTGCGATATTTACTATTAAAGCTATAACTGCCTAGGCATAATATATTTCAAATTTAACTAAATGCTTAGAAAACTTAAATAATAAAACGAGCGTAACTAAAGCGCACACAATATAGTAAAAATCTATGTTTTTTTTTTGTTTTGTCAAAGAGACGCTATGTTGCTCGTATTAGAAAAAAGCTTGTAACCACATATTTTCAATAAGTATATTATGTTTTGATTACTTATCTGGCAACAAATAAAATAGAATTTAACATTTTTTAATTAAAACTAGCCAAATAATGTGTTTCATTCATATCGGTTCAATAATTTGTAATCGTATTAACACACCAGCCCATTGCCCTGCATCGATACTGTTAAATGGGTTAGATGTTGCAAATAATTGCATTTAACTGTTAATGAATAAAAACGATTTTGAGAAAATCGAATAGAAGTCACGTTAAAGCTCAACGCCTATCGATAAATGACTGAACTGAACTGAAAAACATCGAAATAGAGAGGCGCTTAATTTCACCACCGCCTTGCCAGAAGCTTGAAATCGGATGGCAACGCTGACGCTAATAAAGCTACTGTCAAAGTTTGCCCAAAGCTAAACCCAAAATACACATACATACGAAAGCCAAATTCGAGCTGCTGCTGCTGATGCTGTTGCTGATGCTGCCCAACAGCAGTGGGCAATTAAAAACGCATTGGCATTCGGGCATTGTCAGTTGCAAGTGAAAGTGCAGCAGCCGAACGCGCCGCAACAATGTCGACGCCATCAACGTCTGCAGCCGCTGCCGACGCTGACGCCGACGCCCACCCAACCAATCAACGGGGCCTGGGCAAACAGCAGCGCCGACGCCTGGCCGCCTTCGATTTTGACCATACAATTGTTTCCCAGAATACGGACACCGTGGTGCGCGACATGCTGCCCAATGAGCTGGTCAGCTCCTGTGCTCTAACCGATCTAATGGAAAACGAATGCTGGACCGAATATATGGCCGAAATCTTTCGTTTATTGTATGCGCAACAAGTACCAGAGGCGCGAATACGCGACACCATACGCTGTATACCGGAGGTGCCCGGATTTGTGCGTCTCATCAAGCATTTGCAAAAGAAGCTGAATTTCGATTTAATTATCATCAGCGATTCGAATAGTATTTTCATTGATGAATGGCTCCGTGCACACAATCTGTCCGATTCATTCAATGCCATCTTTACAAATCCGGCCGAATTCAATGAGCACGGCCAGCTGCTGGTGCGGCCATATCATCGCCAAACCGATTGCAAACTGAGCGCCAGCAATTTGTGCAAGGGTCGCGTCTTGGAGCATTTTGTCATCGAACAGGATTTACGCTACAATATCCGTTACGATCATGTCTTTTACGTTGGCGATGGCAACAACGATATTTGTCCAGTTTTGCGGCAGCGCGCCTGCGATTTTGCGTGCGCCCGTCAAGGCTTCGCCATGGAGAAGCATCTGATCAAGAATCGCAACAAATTGAAGCTGCGCGCCCATCTGCTCATCTGGCGCAATGGCTTCGATTTGCTGGAGCAGATCTGTGTGCTGCCCCAGCTGCAGGGTCCGCCATCGCAGGCTCACAATTTGGATGCCAATTGCAAGGCCGAAATAGGACGACGTGCGTCTGCCGTGGCAGCTGCAGCTGCTGCCGCACCAACCGATCCAGTCGAGTAGTCAATTTAAAACACAAACACTTTTACAAATCTATATCTTGATATATATATATATATATATATATGTATATATGTATATGTATGACTAATTCCCAGCAGATATATATTTACATTAATTGATGGATGGTTTCGGAATCATCAAAAGTCTTTGTTGTGATCAATGTTTATATATATGTATACAAATAATAATAAATCAATAAATAACTATGTAGAATTATGCACAACACACACACACACACACAACACACACACACTCTCATCTTAAATGTTATTCAGTGTGTTAATTGTATATTTTGTGCTCGCAGCTGTTGCTAGGTGTAAGAGAAAATTGTTTGTGTAATTGTTGAATGTTGTAATTAATATTGTTTGTATATACGATAAACTATATACACCCACACACACTCTTACACACACATATATATATATATGTATATTTGTGTATATCCCGAAAAATAAATGAATTTAAAGTTGTTGCAAAATGCACGCCCCGAAAACAAATACCACCTGGACTTACATTTCAGTTTAATGGCAAAAATTAATAGCTAGCTATTTATATACATATTATAGAGTTTAGTTATTAGCATAAACTATTGTATGACTTGTAAACTTGATTGTTGCAAAGGCTCTAATTAGCTTCACGCTCGTTCGCATCAGTTGACAATCTTATGTGTGTCTCTCTGTGTGTGTATATATATATATATATTTATATGGTTGAGTTGTGCAGCTAAATGCAAAACATTTTCCCCCATTCAACAAGGTTTCTTACAACATACAAGTTGCAATTGCTTAAATCTAAATGTTAACAAATCAAGCTTAATGCCTAAACAAGCGTCTGGGCAGACATGGGCATGTAATTGGCCGCTTAGGAGCCCAATGGCGACATGCCAATCTGGCGTGGATCGGCGCCCGGCTGTTGTGCAGCGCCCGGTTCCAAGTTTTTGATGAGCATTTGCAGCCATTGCTTGGTCGATTTATCATCTTGCAGGCACTGCGTAAAGGTGCCGTCGCGCAGCTGATCCGGCAGGCACTGTCCCAACGCCTTGCGTGCCCTGCTCCACAGAATAGAAAGAGAAAAAGATAGTGTTAATGCACTCGGCAGAGAGAGAGACTATTATCATGCCTGGCACTGACCGTGTATTGTCGGAGAGACGCAGATAACAGCGTACGACATGCTTCAGGAGGCGCGCACACGGCTCCTTCGACAGCTGGATGACCATTTTACCCTTTAGAGAGAGAGAGAGAGGGAGAGGGAGGGAGAGCGTAAATGAGGAATGAGGACATGATGGAGCAGGGCCAACTTACCAGGGTGATGGCCACATGCGAGAAGCGCTCGTAGGTCTGACATATATAGGATAGGCCCGACTCGTCGAGCAATATCTTTTGTATGATGAACGTGGCGACCGTTTTGCTCAGCTCCGAGCCGCTGTCCATAATGGTCAGGCACAAGGGCACAATTTCGGTGGTCAGCAGAAACGTAATCACCTCCTGTTCGTCGGTTTTCACCAGAGCACCGATAACACCCAGGCTGGTCAGACGCAAATACTCAAAGGGACGTGTCTTCGAAATGGTCGATAGAAAGGGATACAGATAGAGGGGTATCTGGGCCTGCAGGAAGGCGGTACGGGTTTCCGGATGCGAGGCGACACACTGCCACAGCGCCAGCGCATTGCATACACGATTCGACTGATGGGCGGTCAGTGTGGGTGGCGTTATTGATGGATATATGCTAATTATCTCCTGGAGCAGAGCGCATGCGGTGCCAAAGCTATTCCAAAGCATTGGCGCCAGATCCGTTTCACGTTTCTTGCTCAGCTCCAGCAGGGCCGTTTCCCGTGTATCCGGATGTGCTAGCTCGTTGATCCATTGGTAAACCTACAATTGAAACATTTAATACATTTATATATATACATACTACATATACTCGTATTAAATAGTCACCTTTTCCTGTTCGGTGGGCTGTTGTTGGGGGTTCATGCAGGGGCTCGGCTGTGCGCTCATTCTCGAAATTGCTGTTAAACACCAAAAATACGTAAAGTTAAACGAAAGCTTTACCAAGTACCGTAAAAGTTTAGCTTTTTTTGGCTTTGCGTGAAAACTTTTAAGCGCGTTCGGTTTTATTGCTATTTTTGAGGCAGCCTTAACTCACATCGCAGCGACAATCAACTGTACGTAATGGTGCGTAACAATTGTACGAATTGTTGTTTAATATTCGTATTAGCAATAAATCTACAGTTATACGAAAAATGACCAAGCAAAATGCCGACCGAAAAAATAAAATGTCGGCTTAATTTGTTGCAGCAGCTGATAGATGATACAAGTGTTGCCACTCTGTAAACTAACGCAGTCTGGCAACGGTGTGGCTCAAAGCAACACTGCGTTTTGTTTTTTTTTTGACGTTTCGACGTGGAACTTGTCAAAACAAATTCGTATCGCAGCAGGCTACACGAACTTCACGAACAGTCATTCGTGTGGAAATTATCAAAGTAAACGGAGGTGCGTGCTAAACATAATTTTCTCTTTTATTTTTTACAATTCGAATTATTTGCTTAAATCGAATATAAAGTACATATTAATAAACAAATAGTGTAAGCTTGAATGAATGCATACAAAATAAGTTGAGCCTTACGCGTGCAAAGCTGTAGCTGCATCCGCCAAAGGCGATGCGTGGCGCTGCCTGCACAAATTGTTCGTTTAAATATAACGGCAATTAAAAAACCAATTGTTTAAAACAAAATACACTTAACTGTTTAGTTACATTTTGGGAAAGCAGCAGCAGCAGCAGCCCATGAAACACAATTAACCAGCGGCTTTTTGAACCAATCAAATTTCACCTGTGACGTCGCCATCGTCGTCGGCTGCCACGTCGTCGTGACGTTGGCGTTGCCATCGTGTTTTGTGATTGTGTGAAAGTGCCATGCATGACATACATACATACATACATACATTTATATCATTGTATTGTATATTAATTGTAACTGATTTTGATCCGTTTGCAGCTCTTCAAATATCACACATTAAACGGTAGCCATGGACAAAGTTGTGAAATTCGCTGAGCCTGGTCGTGCATTTGCCAAGGACTCGATTCGTCTGGTCAAGCGCTGCACGAAGCCCGACCGCAAGGAATTCCAAAAGATTGCGATTGCCACCGCCATTGGCTTCTGCATTATGGGCTTCATTGGATTCTTTGTTAAGCTGATACATATTCCCATTAACAACATTATTGTTGGCTCGTAAGTCTTGGCGATTGGCGATTGGCAATTGGACAGGAGGCGAGAAGGAGATGAACAATAATAATCATCAATTTTACATAAATATACTTTAATTTTTTTTTGCCTGTATAGTTACACCAAGCACTATGTACATTCAACGAATGTCCTCTTTTTTTGTAACAAAATTTTCATGTATGTGAAATGTATTGCAATAATGTTCAAAATTCCCATTCACAACACATGAACGTTAGTTAATAAGCGTCAGTAATAAACGAAAAAAAATCGAAAATCCATTGAAGCCTAGTTTCTTATGATTCTTGCGGGATTGGGCAACCTTGGCGTCGTATGACGTTACGTTACGTCAAATCCAATTGGCATTTCTGGGCGCCCCAAGCTGATGTCTACATTTTGAAGTTGGGCGCGAGTCGTGCGTGCTCGTGTTGAGTTCGTGAGTGTTCGTGTTAAGTACATCGTTGCATTTTTATATATATTGGTCTGAACCAGCTTAATAAGATCAAAACTGATAACATATATATCTATATTTAAAGCAGCCATTGAAACCAAACTTCCATATTTACGGCAAACTTCACTAAAAAAAAAAAACAAGCACAAATGTCAAATTAATTTCACAAAAAATCATAGCGTTCAACAGAACGACTACAGGGTATTTCATATTCGCCATCTAATTAGCATATCAGAGTTCCAACTGGAATTTGTTTTCTCTTTCGCATATCTATCTATATATATATCGATAGCTATCGATGGCGAATTCGTGCTCGTGACGTGGAATGCGTTCGGAACTGTTGTTTGGGTTAGTTGAATTTGTTGCCGTTTTCATTGCAAGAGGAATTGTTGGGCCGATTAGTTAGTAAATAAAAAATGTTAGACTTTGTGGTCATATTCACAAAAGGCGGCATTGTGCTCTGGAATTCGAATGAATCCGGCAAGAACTATGCGGCGTGCATCAACAGCTTAATACGTGGCGTCATTTTGGAGGCAAGTCTATCGAATTTTTTTGTTATTGTTATTGTTAAATTTATTGTTGTTTTTGCTGTTCTGTGGGCTTAGGAGCGAAATACAGAGTCCAAGTACTTTGAGCAGGATCATTTGGCGGTGCAATTCAAGCTGGACAATGAGCTCGACGTGGTCTATGCGGCCGTTTTCCAAAAGGTCATCAAGCTCAACTATCTGGACAGTTTTCTGGCCGACATGCAGACGGCATTTCAGTTGAAATTTGGCGGCATTGGCCAACAGGAGCGTCTGGCCATTGACTACGAGTTCGAGCAGGAGTTTCGGCTGGTGCTCAGCGCCGCGGAGGCGGCATCCGCCAAACAGGGCAAGGCGCCGAAGGCGATGCGCTCCTACAATGAATCGCAGAAATCAAAGAAAACCGTCGCTTCGATGCTGCAGGACGACAAGCGGAGCGTAACGAACGAGAAGCGCGTCAATATACAGGAGAGCCCGCCGTCAACCAAATCGCAGCCATCATCGCCGCCGCGCAGCAATGCTGACATTATCCAGGAGAATCGGCGTAAGCTGCGCGAGAAACTGACGCCCACCAAAAAGGCGGCATCGGCGGCGGCTGCAGCGGCGGCTGGCTTGGAGGCGAAATCCAACAACGACAGGGAGAAGGAGCGGGCGGGCAAGAAGCCGCGCGTCTGGGATTTGGGCGGCAACTCAAAGGATGCCATGCTGCTGGATCGCTCCAAGGATGCGCCCGAAGATGCACAGCTGCAGATCATTAACAATGATGTAAGTGCACGAACAGCTGGCGGCATGCTAAACTAAACCAAATCTCATTACAGCTGGTGGGCACCATGCAGGGCAGCATACGGGATCTGGACGTGGAAAGCGACTCGGATGCGGCCGACAGCGAGCCAAGCGACGACAGCGAACAGGAGCAGCAGCAGCAGCAGCAGGAGCAACAGGCGCGTCGCGCGCTGAACCGAAAGCCCAAGAGCGCCGGCTTGTTATCCTATTTCAAGGGCATTGTGGGCGCCAAAACGTTGACGCTCGTTGATCTGCAGCCGGCGCTGGAGAAGATGCGCGATCATTTGATATCGAAGAACGTCGCCTCAGAGATAGCGGCCAAGCTGTGCGATTCGGTGGCCACATCGCTAGAGGGCAAACAAATGGGCACCTTCGATAGCATTGCCAATATGGTGAAGGAGGCGCTAACGCAATCTCTGGTGCGCATCCTGTCGCCCAAGCGGCGCATCGACATCATACGCGATGCCCTCGAATCGAAACGCAACGGCAAACCCTACACGATCATCTTTTGCGGCGTCAATGGCGTTGGCAAATCAACGAATCTGGCCAAGATTTGCTTTTGGCTAATCGAAAACGATTTCAATGTACTGATCGCTGCCTGTGATACGTTTCGTGCCGGCGCTGTGGAACAGCTGCGCACGCATACGCGGCATCTGAACGCACTGCATCCGGCCGCGAAGCATAATGGTCGCACCATGGTCCAACTGTACGAGAAGGGCTATGGCAAGGATGCGGCCGGCATTGCCATGGAGGCAATCAAATATGCGCACGATACGCGCATCGATGTGGTCCTGGTCGACACAGCCGGCCGCATGCAGGACAATGAGCCGCTGATGCGTTCCCTGTCCAAGCTGATCAAGGTCAATAATCCGGATCTGGTGCTATTTGTTGGCGAAGCACTTGTCGGCAACGAGGCTGTCGATCAGCTGGTCAAATTCAATCAATCCCTAGCCGATTACTCATCCAACGAGAATCCGCACATCATCGATGGCATCGTCCTGACCAAATTCGATACCATCGATGACAAGGTCGGCGCCGCCATCTCCATGACCTACATAACCGGTCAGCCGATCGTGTTTGTCGGCACCGGCCAGACCTATGCGGACCTCAAGGCCATCAATGTCAATGCCGTTGTCAGCTCCCTCATGAAATAGATAGATCCCAACAATGACTGGGACAAACGCAGGACTTAATGCTAACAAGATTGTTTATACACTTGATTTTTGTTTGTGTCTTTATATATATATGTTGTGCGTGTGTGTGCAGGCACAACAAATAAAATGCACTTTTTACATATGTTGGTCGATTCCGATTTCCACCAATTTTCCACTCTGGTGCGTGAAATTTACCACAATCATGTCTCAGGCTTCCATTTACATAAGCTGCACTTAGGAACCCGTCCAGGAGGACCTGGAACCTTTGGTTCTAACAGGCACAGGCATAACATAGAGTAACAATAAAAAGTATCCACATAGGATTTAAGGAATTTATATAGATATATATAGATATATTTAAGTTGTAGGTTTAGCGAAGGGCGAAATGAAAATGTTAAAGCTACTGCGTTTATTTGTAGAACTCGTGCTCCTGTTCGTCCTTCTTGATGTTGTTCTTGTAGCCCTTCTCGAAGTCCTTGGCCAGGACAATGTAACGATTCTCGCGTACAGCATGCATGCCAGCCTCCTGGCAAATGGCATTAATATCGGCACCAGATATCTTATCGGGCCTCGCAACAAACTCCTCCAGATCCACATCCTCGCTGAGATTCATCTTGGATGTGATGGTTGTGAAGACCAAACGTTTCTGGCGACGATCGGGCAATGGGAACTCAATTTTACGATCCAAACGGCCGGGACGCAACAATGCCGGATCGAGCGTATCGGCACGATTAGTTGCCATGATCACCTTCACATTGGTCGTCTGATCGAAGCCGTCCATTTGATTGAGCAGCTCCAGCAAGATGCGCTGCACCTCACGATCGGCGCCAGTTTGGGCATCGAAACGTTTTGTGGCAATCGCATCGATTTCATCAATGAATATAATGGCCGGCGCATTCTCCTTGGCCAAACGAAAGACGTCGCGCACCATGCGCGGACCCTCGCCCAGATATTTCTGCACAAACTCGGAGCCAACGACACGTATAAACGAGGCGGTCGTATGATGTGCCACGGCCTTGGCCAGCATCGTTTTGCCGCAGCCGGGCGGACCGTACATGAGTACGCCGCGCGGCGGATCGATGCCAATCTGTTTGTACAGCTCAAAGTGGGTTAGCGGCAGTTCGACAGCTTCGCGTATTTCCTGCTTTTGCATATCCATGCCGCCAATGTCGGCATAGCTAACATCTGGCTTCTCATCCGGCTGCAGCATGGATATGGAGCTATCGGCCTCTGGTGGCAGCACATCGACCAGGGCATTGCTATGCTTGTGCAGCGCCACCGAGGCCGAGGGCTTTAGCAGCTCACGGTCGATGGTGGACAGGATGCGTACATAGTAATTGGAGCCCGTCGTGGAGCCAACAATGCCCGTATTCTGATCAACAGCTTCGAGAAATTGGCCAATCACTAGCGGCACCGACTGTATACGCTTCACCTCCTCCTGTGCGTGCAAGTACTCCTTCTTTAGATTGCGCTGCTCATCCTTGATATACTCCTCCTGCACCTCAATGAACTCCAATGTTTTTTGCAATTTCTAAAGAGAATTGCGTATGAATTCAGGCAAAAACTAACATGGCTTATGTTGGGCATACCTTATAGCGCACATACAAATCGTCTATGTCCAATTCATCCAGGGAGCTATGCGCATCCTTCAGCTTCAAGTCAAGCTCGTCCTGGCAGAAAAAAAAAAAAACACATAAAAATTGCATTTTGTTAATATTAAAATGAAAACCAAATGCCAGCACAGGGCTTACTCTTTCAGGCATCAATATATCCATGTTGTATGTATTAATTTAACGTTTTGCGTGCAATGATGAATGCAAGTTTTTATTCTTTTAATGCCGCCTGGCCGTCGATATTAAAAATTAAGACGAAGCAACCAAATGACTCGTCAAAAACAAGCTGACGATATGGTAATGGTGCACATATCGATAGGAGTTGCACGCAGTGTCGATTGGTGATCTATCGATATTTACTTAATTGTTCATATAATGTTAAGTATTCGGCAAAACAATGACTACATAAATAACTAATTGTATGCACTAGTACGATAAGCTAACGAAAATAATAATAATAAAAAACGAAAAATGTAAATCTAAAAATAGCGTATATCGTGTCAGCGGGTATCGATACCCAATCAGAATAATAAACACTTTTCGCAACAGTGTGTACACACTGTTACGGCAGCACGACCATTTTTTTGAGGCGATTTCGATTCTTCTCATAAGAAAACACATTTATTTTGAGCAACTAAATATGTGTGTGTGTGCCGTGTGCGTGTGTGTGTGAAGAATTAAAACAATAGTTAATAAAAACTGAAAACAACAACAATTAGTGAATGAGTTGAGCGCACATACAATGGGCATAAGCATTAAATGCGGCTAATGAAATGGAAATGGACTGTTTTAAACCGCATATGCTCGTGCCAGAGAAAAATCGTTCACCACCTCTAACTCAGTGTCCTGTAGTCGCTGCCATCTCTGCCGTCGCCGTCGTCGTCGCCGTCGCCGTCACCGCCGCTGCTTCTGGTTGGTGCTGCGCTGCCCTCTACCTCTGCCACAGCCGCTGCTGCCACTGTCTGTGCTCTACGCACGCATCGATTTGGGCTAAACGTTAGATACCTCCTAACGCAGTTGTTAGGGTGGAAAAAATATAAGTACATAATAATAAAAAGAAATGCTGTGCATTTTTCAATTAATACATGCCCAAACCTATGCAATTGACGCTACAGCAATAAATTCGAGTGCAATATTTTTAAACGAACTAACAAATAAAAAAAACAACAACAACAGCAACAAAGCATATAAATACGCCAATACGGGCGCAACTCAAGCAGCAAAACAAAAGGGCCAACAAATAAACTTGAATATAATAAGAGAAAAAGAAAAAAAAAATAGAATTTTTTTTTTTTATATAAATCTACATAAGGCGGCAGCAGTGCATCAGGCAGGCGGCAAAATTGAGGAGCAGTGTTTAAAGCGGGGTAAACTAAAGAAATAACAAAACTTATCAAAAAAACAAAAAAATAGTGTGTACAAAATGTTTATTGTATAATTTTCATTACAACTCTACATATGTATATGCATACAACATACATGCATGTGTATGTGCATGTGTGTGTGTATGCATGGGCACAGTGTGTGCGTGCGTGCGTGCGTGCGTTTAGTTTTTGTTTATATGCTGTTTTTTCCAATTCTTTTTCGCTTAGTTTGCTATTTGCGCACATTCGTCAACAAAATGTGCTCTCGGCTTTAACTAAGCGTTTTGCTTATTCGCTTTTATCGCATTATTGTTTGTTCTTTATTGATTTTAAGATGCTGCTGCAATTGTGGACACACTGACAGCACACACACACACACGCATGCACACATGCACACATATGCACATGCACACAACCGCACACACACACATATATGTACCTTTTTTTGAGGCAGTGCAATTTGTTAATTTGAAATTTGATTTTGATTTCTTTGATTGTACTTTGTATTACAGCAATTTAATTAGCAGCAGTGGCAACATTGAGAGAACAAAAACAGCTTCCACATGAAGACCATGTCGCGCTTTGGCCTGCGCCGTGGCTTCAAATTTTCCGAGGAACAGCAGCAGGTCAATGGCAACAGCAGTCCAATTGGACCAACCGCACAAAAGCTGGCAACGCCGCCGCAACGCAAAAAGCGCAATTGCAGCCTGCCCAGAGAGCAGCCAGATCAGCAATTGGAACCAATTGATGTCGAACTCGAGTTGGACAGGCAGCAGCAGCCCCCGCTGCCTCCCTCGCTGGTGTGCAGTGTGCCGCTGGAGCGTTTGCCGCGTCTCGTCGAGAAACTGCAACAGCTGCAACAACAGCAACAACAACAGCAACAACAACAGCGCGAACTTGAGGAATATTCGGCAACGGCTTTTATCAAAGTTTTATGCTTGTACTGTGATAAGAAGTTCGCGTCGAGCAAGCTGCAGTCCAAGCATGTGGACAAGTTTCATACGGAACGCAAGGAGCGACGCTGCAGCAATCGTTCGACCAACAACAACAACAACAACAACAACATTAACAGCAGCAGCGGCAGCAGCAATAACAGCCACGCCCACTTTCCAGGCTGTCAACACTGCAACAAGTCAAAGTCGCCAGCGTTGAGCTCGCCAATCTGTCTGCCCGCCAAGCAACTGGAGCAGCTGTTCAATCATCTAATCGTTAGCCATGCGGACAAGTATTTTGGCTGCCAGCAATGCCAGCTGCGCTTTAACGATGCACCGCAGCTGCACAGTCACATGCGGCATTTGCATCAGCAACAGTTACCCCCGCAACAGCAGCAGCAGCAACAACAGCAGCAGCAACAGGAGACATGCTCCATGATGGGCGCCGAGGAGCCGGTGCTGTTTCGCCTAGGTCTCACACAGAATCGTTTGCCTGGACAGCGGCAGCGCAATCGCAGCGCACGTCAGCAACGCGAACAGCAGCAGCAGCAACAGCAGCAGCACAGCAGCAGCAATACCTCCGCCTCGGCCACACCCAAGCAACAGCAGCAGCAGCAGCAGCGCAGCAGCAGTCGCGCCGCTCAGCGTCAGGCAGCGGCAGCAGCAGCGGCAGCAGTCGCGCCTTCTTTAAGCCTCGCTGCTGTCACGACAGCAACTGTTGCCGCTGCCAGCAGCAACAGCAGCTGCAGCAGCAGCAGCAACAGCAGCACGGCAACAACAACAGTTGCCTGCACGCCGGAGGATGCACACTTCCGGATGCCCAGCCATAGTCATGTGTTCGATGACAACTTTTACAAGGATGTGGTGCAGAATGTGCGCCACAATTTGCAGCATTTTCTCGACGGACGACTGCGCAGCGGACCCGCGCCGCCGCAGCCGCTCAGTACGCCGCCCGCCGCTGCGTCTAGCCTGCAACAGATGGCGCTGTGCAGCGCCTATCCCACATTGCTCACAGCCGAACAATTTGGCGAGGGTAATGGCCTGGGGCTGGGCATGGAGACGCTGCCGCTGCCACTGCCGCTGGCGGCAAAGGCGGCGCGGCGGCCGCACACGAAGCATAGCTGGAAATGGAAATGGGATTATGTGAAGAAATTTACGATTATCAACGAGAACGGACGCCTGGTCAAGAAGGTGAAGCAACCGTTTATGGGGCTGCGCGATTTGTCGCGTCTGGACATGTGGACGCAGCTGACCATGCGTCAGAAGCACGACCTGGAGCAGGCGCAGCAACAACAGCAGCAGCAACAACAGCAGCAGCAACAACAGCAACAGCAGCAGCAGCAACTGTTGCAACAGCTGCATTTGCTGCTGGATCGTCGCCTGTTGCCGCACATAATGCTCGAGCAAAACGAGCAGGCGATTATCAAGGAGGAACTGCCCGAGCAGCAACAGTTGCTAACGCAACAGCAGCAACATTTGCTGCTGCCAGCACAAACAGGCGCCGAGCAAAGCTTCCTAAAGCTGCTTCAGCTGCAGCCGCGCCAGCAGCAAACGTTGCAGCCACGCCAGCAGCAACAGTTGCAGCTGCAGCAGCAACAGCAGCAACAATTGGTGCTCAGCGGCGAATGGGCGCGCCCACGCTTGTATTTGTGCATCTGCTGTGGGGCCAAGTTTGAGCAGCGCAAGGCGCTCGAGGAGCACAAAACGTTTCGACATTCGCACATCTATGCGACACACTATGAGCTGGTGGGCCGTGAGCTGCTCGCCGGCAACTTGTTGCGGCATCTGTTTATGCCGAAGCGTGCGCTCAGCCGTTATGCGGCCGAGCATCAGCAACAGTTGCTGTCGTCGCAGCACAAGCAGGAGCGCACCGTTGTCGAGGATGAGTCAATGTTGTGCAGTTCATCGAATTGCTCGGCGGCCTCATCGGCCTTTGGCCTGGCCACGGTCAGCGCCTCGCCCTGCTCGACAGCAACAACAGCGACAACAACAGCAACTGGCCACAGCAGCAGCAGCAGCAACAGCAACACAACGTCCACGTCTGTGGAGGACAACGACAACAGCAGCGATATTAAGGGACTGCCGACGAATGTCAGCGCCTGCTCGCCGGCCAGCCTCAGTCTGAGTCTCAGCTCCGGTTCCGGCTACAGCTGCAGCAGCTCACAGCCGACGGCCGCCAGCTGCACGAAATGCGGCCGCAAATGCAACGGCCTGATGGATCTCTATCGGCATATGTTGGACTGTTCCGGTGATTATGTTTGGTCATTGGCCAAAAAGCGTAAATATCGTTATTATTGCGGCTCCAAGAAGCGACGCACCGCCTGCAATAAGCCCGCCAAGCATTTTGCACAGCTGCTGCGCAAGAATGGCAAAAAGGTCAAGAAGCAGGGCCAGATCGAGTCGGTGGAGGCTCGCCCAGAGCAGGCGGGCAACAATGATGCGTCCGAGGAGAGCGGCTCCAATTGCTCCAATTCCAATTCGAACAAGACTAAAACGCCGCCGCGTCAAAGACCCAGCGATGGTGAGTGCCACAGTGTAGCCTCCATATGGCAGAAAATACTCGAAATGGAACGCATACCAAGGGAAGCTATCGGTTATAGTAGTCCGTTGTCCGAACTCAAAGATGGCATTTCTTCAACAAGATCAAGTCAAAAATCTCTTAAAGAATCGACAAATTGTTCCAATAGAACGTCCCATTTTCCAACAACTCCGACAGCTTAGCCAGAGGCAGACTGTTGAGCCTGTCGTTGACAAGTCGCTCGATATTCAGCGAGAATAAAGATATATATATATATATATATATATATATATATATTTAATAGAATAATATATATTTTATGGACTGAAAGATTTCTTCCATATGCTTTGTAACTAAACTGAAATATCCCTTGCAAACATTTAAAAGAAACTATATCTCTTCAGTCATGACTGACTGATTGACTGATTGATTGACTGATTGACTGACTGATTGATTGACTGATTGACTGACTGATTGATTGATTGATTGACTGCCTGATTGATTGACTGATTGATTGACTGATAGAATAATTGACTGACTGATTGACTGACTGACGGACTGATTGATTGACTGCCTGACTAACTGACTGAATGACTGATTGAATGACTGACTGATTGACTGACTGATTGATTGATTTTATTTTAGTTTCCTTCCGAAACTCCCGGAAAAGTGAAGAAAACCCGTAAAAAACACGTTCTGTTAGTTTCCTATCGAATCTCTCGGAAAATTGGTGAAAAATCGAGGTTAATCAATTTTTTTTAAAATTTTCTTCCGAAAATCGGAAAATTGAAGAAAAACCGTAGAAAATATTTTTTAGTTTTCTGCCGCATTTCTCGGAAAATTGGTGAAAAGTCTTAGTTACATTTTTTTCGTTTTTCTTTCGAATTTCCCGGAAAATTTTAGTTTTCTTCGGAATCTCTCGGAAAATTGGCGGAAAACCGAGAATAAAAAATTTAATTTTAGTTTTCTTTCAAACTGGAATTCAGGCACTTTTTAATATTTATGCTAAACACGATTTTCTCACATTTACTTTTTTTGTTGTATTTTTGTGTGTGTTGTATTTTTTGGATGTGGAAAAATCCAAGCACAAGCTCGGAAAATCACGGAAAACTGTTGCATGCAAAAAGCTTCCCATCGAAAAGTTTTATTTTCAAAAATCTTTGCGTCATTTTATAGAAGATGTGCTCAATATTTTTGGAAAATCTGTCGCACGTAGCGGAAAATGAAGCTGGAAAAATTCGAAGCTCCTTCAATTCGTACTTATTTCTATCTCTCTCTCTCTCTCCATTTCTCTCTCAGCCGAATCCATACGCAAAATGCTGGAGAATTTGCCGGCGAAGCGTGTTTGCAAAAAGATCTTCCCGATGGACAACAAGAAGCGCTCCAAGAAACAGGGCAAGCCCAACAAGAAGCTGCAATCGCGCGATCGCGCCAAGAAGCTATACAATCATCATCATCATCATCTGCATCATCATCATCATCATTTGCATCATCACGCACTGCGGAATACGCGCTCGCGCCTCGTCCGCGCCAAGCCATCAACAGCAGCAGCTGCAGCAGCAGCAGCAGCAGCAACTGTTGCTGCCGAGCAGCAGCAGCGACAGCAGCGCAATCGTCGCAAGCAGCAGCAGCAGGCCAAGCTGTTGCCCGTCAGCGATGCCCAGCTTGGAAGCAGCAGCAGCAGCAGCAACACGCCAACAACAGCCGTAAACACTGCCAGCATAGTCAACGCGAATGCAGCGACAGCTACTGTTGCTGTTGCTGCGACAACAACAACAACAGCAGCAGCAACAGCAGCAGCAGCAGCATCAACAACAACAACTGTTGCCTCGCCCAAGCAGCAGCTGATGCCAACGCCGCCCACAACACCAGCGCCAGCAGCAACAGCAGCAGCAACAACAACAACAACTCCACCAACAACAACAACAGCAGCAGCAGCAGCAGCAACAGCTGCTTCCAGCAAGCAGCAGCAACAGCAACAACAGCAGCCTGTGAAACGCAGCAAGCGCATCAGCGACTGCATTGCCATGCTGACGGGCAAGCTGGAGGAGAAGCTGAAGACTGAACAACAGCCGGCGGAAAAGGAGCAACCGTTGCTGCCGGCAGCAGCAGAGCCAACAACAGCCGAACAGCAACAGCTGCAGCCGAAGACGCCCAAACGCAAGGCCATGTCCAGGCGCATCATCAAGCCGCACGCGGAGGAGGCAGCAGCAGCAGCAGCAATAGCCACGCCTGTAACGGCAACAGTTGCGCCTGCAACAGCAACAGTTGCGCCTGTAACAGCGACAATTGCCCCTGTAAAGCCAGCAACAACAGCAGCAACAGTTGCTGCTCCGCCGCTGCCTGTGCCCGTGCCTCTTCCTCTTCCACTGCCGCTGCCCGCCAAGCCTGTTGTGCTGCCAGCGTTGCCGCGTCGCGCCACGCCCACCAAGGCAGCAACCAAGCAAATGTTGCCAACACAATTGCCACAGCAGCAACAGTTGCCGCTGGCGGTGCTGCCGCTGCCGATGTCGATGCCTTTGCCATTGCCACTGCCGATGCCATTGCCTGCCCTGCCTGTGCCACTGCCCGTGCCCGTCAAGCTGCCAGCAGCAACTCACACGACACCAAATCACACGCCAGCAACACCCACAGCAGCAGCAGCTGCAGCAACAATGCTGCTGCCCAAGCTGCCATTGTATCTGCCAGTGCCGGCCAGCTATGTGCTGGAGCCGCTAAATCTTAGTCATGTCAAGCCGCCAGCACATCAGCAGCAGCAGCAGCAGCAACAACAGCAGCAACAGCTGCAGCAGCAGCAGCAACAGCTGCAACAGCAGCAACAACAACGTGCCGCGGCAATGCCCGCGCGTCGTCAAACGATTTGTGGCTTTGAGGCGCGCAATTTGCTGCAGCTGGACGAGATGCAGCCACTGGATCTGTCCAAGAAAAGCAAACGCAAACCATCGCCAGCTCCTCCGGCTCCAGAGCAATTGCCCCTGGGCCTGGGCCTGCCGCTCGTGCGCGGCACAGAAGCAACTGCTGCTGCCGCCGCAGCAGCAGCTGCTGCTGCTGCGCATTACTATTCCAATCTGGAGTTGCTGAAAATACCGCAAGTGCGCCAGCCGGTGCTGCCGCTGCCCATGCCCGCCCTGGTGCCGCAGACGCCGCTGACTGTGAAGGCGCCCGCCAAGAAACGCGCCGCGGAGCTGGCCAGCAAAAAGGAGAAGCAGCCCAATGTGACGCGCATGGACGAGGTAATCAACAATCATATCGACGATGCCATCAACTCGGTTATATTGGCCGTGCAGGAGGAGGACGACGAACAGCGGCAGCAGCAGCAGCAGGAGCAGCAGCAACAATTGTTCCACAAGCAGCAGCAACTGTTTCAGCAGCAACATCTCCCACAGCAACAGCAGCAACATCTTCCACAGCAACAGCAGCAACATCTCCCACTGCATCAGCAGCAGCAACATCTACCGCAGCAGCAACATTTTCCGCTGGCGCCCGTGCCCGTTCCGATACCAGCAACTGTTGCTGCCGTCACACCGGCAACAGTTGCTACTGTGCCCGCCCGTCATCTGACGCCAAAGAAGCGCAATATGCGCTCCAAGACAATCGATTGTCGTTCCGAGTTGTTGCTGGCTGCGTTGCCACCGGCAATAAAAGCCACGCCCACTGCCACAGAAACGCCCATGTTGCTGGCGCAAAATGGCAACATCGAGCCGACGGCCACGCCCCTAGCGACGCCTCTAGCCACGCCTGCGCCAGCAACAACAAGCTGCCACGAGCAGCAACTGTTGCCGTTGCCGCAGCAATTGCCGCCGGCAGCAATAGCAGCAACAGTTGCTGAGACGCCCGTTGTAAAGCCAGCCCAGCCCGTGTCTGTCATATCTGTGGCGCCGCCAACAGCAACAATTGTCGCAGCAGCAACATTTGCCACAGCAGCAACATTTGCGACAACAGCAACATTTGCCACAGCAGCCACATTTGCCACAGCAGCAACATTTGCGACAACAGCAACAGTTGCAACAGCAACAATTGCAACGACAGCAACAACAGGGACCTCGACGCGACGCAGCGCCACGCCATTGCTGGAGGAGCACAGCAGCAATCTGAACAACAACAATAACACATCCTCCGGTTTTCATAGCCTCGCCCAATCCGAGGTGGCCCAAGCGCCGCCAGCTGAACCCGAGCCGGAGCCCGAACCGAAGCCGGAACCCCAAGCGGAGCCCGAGGCGGAGCCAACAGCTGAGCCTGAACCTGAGCCTGCGCCCAAACCTGAACCAGTTGCCACGCCCACTGCCACGCCCAAGGAGGATGCCAAGAAGAAGCAGCGCCGTCGACGCAAAAACGAGCTGGCGGCAATTGTTGCCGATCAGCTGCTGGAGAGCTTCAAGATCGACAATGCGCGACGCGACAATCTCAAAAAGCTAGAGAATCTGGCGTACGAGAAGAGCGAGGATCTGCTGCTCACAGGCATGCTGCTCATGTCCAGCACCAAACGCAATGCCACGCTCCAATCAGCAACTATTGCCGGCGACACGAAGCGCAGCAAAGCCGCGTCAACGGACGCAGAGGCCGGGCCAGCCGGTCGTGGAAGGCCGAAGCGTCGCCAGAGCTGCTATTATAGACGCGGTCGCGGCAAGGCGGCGCCGCTGGGCGCCGAGACGAACATAAGCGCATTGAAATCCTCGCTAGAAAACTTCTCCATTGGCATCGAGAAGCAGCTGCAGGCCAAGGAGGCGGCCAAGGCCAAGGCCACACCCACGACCGGCGCAGCCAGCTGCATATTAAGGCCAAGCATACTATGCACGGCGGCCAAGGAGCAGCAGCAAAGGCAGGAGAAGCAGCAAAAGTTGGAGGAGCAGCAGCAAGAGCAGGAGAAGCAGCAGGAGCAACAATTGCCGGCGGCGGCAGCAACAGTTTCTGCTGCACTGCCCACCTACAGTCGCGATCCGCGGCTCAATAAAAACATACACAAGGAGCCGGAGCAACTGCAGCAACAGCAGCAACAACATAACCCGCAGCCACATGCCCCGCAGCAACATGCCCAGCAGCAACATGCGCTGCAGCAACAACATGCGCCGCAGCAACAACATGCGCCGCAGCACGGCGACAATCTGGAGGAGGAGGACAACTATTTGACGGAAATTGCCAAAAATGTCAATGAGAAAATCATGTCATCGACAAACGAGGACTTTGAGTTTGCCAACGATGAACTGGACCAGGACAAGGATAAATTCTATCGGCCGCCGACATCGATGAGCGTGCGCAGCGCTCCAAATCTGAATGATGAGCACTCGAATTTTGGCACCGACGACGACGAGAATACCAATACGGAAATCCTGGACATGGACATGGACGATGAGCTGAGCGTCTATACCAGCTACTCACAGGATCTGGGACGCAACGGACGCCGCCGGCGACGCAGACGTCGCAGCGTCCTCTTGACCCGCCGTCCCAAGAAGCGCAGCACACGCAACGGCGGTCAGCTGGATGAGGCGGACAAATATGCCTGCCAGCTGTGCGGCAAAAGCTTCTATACGTCCACATCACTGTCCAAGCACAACATGACGCTGGCTCACGTGTCCAAGCTTTCCGAACTGGAGTATCTGCAGGCCAAGAGCAATGCGCCGCCAAGTCCGCCGCAGCCAATGGAGCAGCAACTGGAGGCGCCGCCTCAGCAGCTGCGCGCCTCGGTGCTTATGCCGCCGCTTCAAATGCAGATGCAGATGCAAATGCAGGCCATGCCAGCAGCAGCTGCTGCTCCATTGCCGCCGCCCAGTCATCATGTCATCACCGAGGAGAGCCTGCGACTCCATGACAATCAACAGCAACAGCAACAGCAACAGCAGCAGCAGCAGCAGCATCATACGAGTCCCGCCCACAGCGCCGCCCGGCTTAATCTGAATCCCGACGAGCGTCTCTTTTACGAATGCTGCAACATCCTCAAGAGCGCCGAGACGCCGCGTCTGGCCAGCGGCACGACGGCATCTGTGATTGTCAGCGCCGGGCGCAAGAACCTGGAGACGACGCCGACGCCGCCAACTGTTGAGCCAGCTGCTGATGAATCACTGCCGCCGCCAGCATCTCCATCCCCATCCCCATCCCGATCGCCATCGCCATCGCCAACAGTTCCAGCTCTTGCGCCAGCTCCTGCTCCTGCTCCAGCTCCGACTGTTTCCCATCAACCTGTTATCCAGCAGCTGTTTCGTAATCCGCCCGCGGCCACGCCCACACCAACGCCCACGTAAGTAAAAAGAAAACAAATACAATTTCTGGTTAAAGCTAATCTCGAATACTTGAAGCATTGACAGGAATAGGTAAAGATGGAAAGGGATCAACATGGCGAAAGAAGCAGAAAAGGAGAATATATATAATCTGAGAAGGGATTAAATTCTAGAGCAGGAATTCTAAGCAGGAGTACTAAGCAGGAGTTGAGAGCAAGGGAATCCAAAAGAAAGATTGAATATGGCATTTTAGGAGAAGGATGGGGATTGGGGGATTAGGAAGATCGATAGGAATATCGTCGACCAGGTCGAAGATTGCCCTGAAGCTGCCAAATTCCGATTTTGTTGAAGATATTTTGATAAGGAAAAGGAGTTTTTCCCATACTTCCTATGGAAAGCCTTTGATATAGTGCTCCGATCCAGCCTAGTCCGTTTGGTGTATTCGCCGGAAGAGAAACCTGAGAGATTCGTTTAAGGGCAATAGACGGAGGAAGAGATGGGAACAGAGGAAGAAACTGGGAACAGAGGAAGAGATGGGGAACAGAGGAAGAGACTGTGGACAGAGGAAGAGACTGGGGACAGAGGAAGAGATGGGGAACAGAGGAAAAGACTGGGGACAGAGGAAGAGATGGGAACAGAGGGAGAGATGGGAACAGAGGAAGAGATGGGAACAGAAGAAGAGAAGGGAACAGAGGGAGAGATGGGAACAGAGGAAGAGACTGTGGACAGAGGAAGAGAAGGGAACAGAGGGAGAGATGGGGACAGAGGAAGAGATGGGGAACAGAGGAACAGACTGGGGACAGAGGAAGAGATGGGAACATGGGTTATAACTTATCTAGCATATATATATATATATATATGCTCCAAGGGATCGGCGACGTCTTCTTCTATGAAGTTGCAACTCTTCAGCGGGAGGTCAAGAGTTGGCTTCAGGAATTGTACTTGTCCTAAACATGATTCTAATTTGTCTTATCTCTTTTTGTGCCCTTCCAGCAATCATCATCCGCATCATCATCATGGCCAGCAGCATCCGCCTCATCCTCATCATCAACAGCAGCAGCATCCGCCTCCCCATCATCATCATCCGCCTCATCCTCATCCGCCTCATCTTCATGGTCCTCATCATCACCAGCAGCATCTGCATCCTCATCCGCATCCGCATCGCCTTTCGCCCAGCTACTCGGCCATGTCGCAGTTTTCCGCAATGACCGCAACAAACATGACCACATCGCGCTTCAAGACAAAGGCCGCCATGAAGGGTTACGAGACGAATGTGACGACGCATCTACAGCTGGACATGGATCTGGCGAAGACGGCGCGCGCCGTTTGCAAGCTCACCGAATTGGCGGACATTGCTTTGGGCAGCGAGAAGCCGCCGGGCGTTGACTATATGTCCGCACAGATCTTGCCCAGCAACCCGGAGCAGCAACAGCAACAGCAACAATTGCAGCCGCAGCAACAGTTGCCGCCGGGCACAGCAGCAGCAACTGTTGCCGAGCCGAGCTCCACATCCTCAAAGACAATTATGCACGCCTCGTCCATAATCAAGGGCCGGATCATTATACCGGAGCGTCCGTTCAAGAATATTGGTTTGGAGGAGAAGGCGCCAATTACCTTCCAGAAGCCCAAGACGAGCGTCAATCTGTTAACCGAGGACAACAATAGCGTCTCCACGGCCAGCTATTCGGATCGCGATGATTACGATTTTGGTACGCTCAGCTGCGAGGATGTGGATGCAGAGGGGGAAGGGGATGGTGATGTGGATGGGGAGAGTGTTAAGCTAAGGACGCAGGAGCAGCAGCCGCCGGAACAGGAGCAACAGCAGCAGCAGCAGGAGCAACTGAAGCCTGCGGCTGGCATGGTTGCGTGCTCCGCGGCCAGCTGCTCGAGCAGCTCGAGCTCCTCCACGGCGTCCAGCACACAGCAGAGCAGCAGCAGGAGCAGCAGCTCGAGTCGGGCGACTGCCAAAACGTTTGAGAACAAATCGCTGATCATGGGCCGGATCTTTAAGCATGCGAGCAGCGCCAAGGTAGGCACAACGCCGCCCAAGCTGGCCGTGAAGAGTGCGCCCAAGGATAAGGCACAGCTGGATCAGCTTTTCGATGAGCTGCGTGGCGCCGCCAAGCCGCAGCAGCAGCCGGTCAATGAGCAGCCCCAGTTGGAGCCCTTGGCCGTGCCGCCGCCAGCTGCGATGCCAGCACCAGCTGCGCCGGCGACGACAAAGTGCGGCAAGGCGAGCGCACGCAAGGATCTGTCCAAGCTGCAAACGGAGCTGGGCATGAGCGCCGAGGAGCTGGAGCAGCTCATCGATGAGGGTCAGCGCAAATCGAAGCGACGCTGCGCCACAAATCGGCCCAAAAAGCTGGTGGAGACCTGGAGCTCCGATGAGTACGAGGAGTTTCTCTCCACCAAGGACATCATAGCCCTGATCGAACAGAAGGAACAGCAGGAGCAGCGACGCAAGCGCAAGACTAGCGAAGCACAAGAGACGCCGGCGGGCAACAGGCAACGTGCGGATCGGGAAAAGTCCACGCAGACCGTGGCAAATGCCAAAAGTCGCAAAACACGCAAAGCCGAGCAGCTGGCGGCGGCAGCGACGCAGCCGAAACGCGCCAGGCAGCGCAGCAGCGTCGCAGAGCCGACAGCGCCGGTTAAGGCCAAGCCAAAGGCTAAGACGAAGGCGAAGGCAGCGCGTGGCAAGCCTGCCGCAGCCAAAACGCAGCAGCAGCAACAGAAGCCGGCGAAGGCGCCAGCAGCGGCGGCGGCGGGCAGCCGCAGGCGTGGCAAGCAGCAGCCAGCGGAGGAGTTGACGTCGACGGCGACTCCGGCGCAGCAACAGCAGCAGCAGCGTACACGCAGCAGTCGGCAGCAGCAGCGGCGAACGCTGGCGCAGCCAGTCGAAGTGCACGCGCCGGACATGAATCACTGCCAGGAGCCGCAGCAGCAGCCACAGCAGCCGCAACAGCAGCCGCAGCAGGAGAAGGCAGCCGGCAGCGCCAAGCAGAAGCCGCGCAGCAGCAGCAGCAGCAACAACAGAGCAGCAGCTGCAACAAACAACAACAACAACAACAGCAGCAGCAGCAACAAAAATTTGAAAACGAAACGTAAATCGCAAACACATCGCCAGTCGCCGGCGCGCCGGAAGCGTCCGGCCAGCGAGAAGCAGCTGTATTATTGGAGCAGCTCCAGCGATGATGAATTCGGTCGCATCCATGTGGAGGCAGCAGCGGCGGCGGCAGAGGCAGCGGCAGCGGCAGCACAAGCAGCAGCAGCAGCAGCCGACGCACAAGCCAACAACGCACAAGCCGACGCAGGCGTGCCGCCGCCGCCGCAACCGCAGCCGCAGTCGCAGATGGCGCCGCCGCCGAAGCACTTTGATGATAGCGAGCAGTATCAGAAGCACGGCTGGATCGTTGGTGACTCGCACAAGAAGCTGGTCAAGCTGCTGGCCATTGCCAAGGGCAGCAAGAAGGTGGATAATTGCGGCGTTAAGCGGCGCACGCCCAAACGCAAATGCTAGAAGCGATGCACAGTTGGGAACAGCTGCCAACTGCCAACTGCAAGCAAAAAATGTATTTCATATATATATTTTTTCCTTTCTTTAAACACACACATCTAAGCGTTACATTATTTAGGTTATTCTATGTTTTTTTTTTTATTAAATGTATTTATAATTAATAAACAAAAATTGCGCGAGCAACAAATAAAGATTTGAGCACAATTATCGACTTATCGATATTTGCGTGGGCGGGCGCAACTAGTACGCAGCGCTGGCATAGAGAGCTGCAAACTCTTTTTTTAAATATACAAAAAAATATTGGTAAAAAAAACAGCTTGGATTTAACAAGTGTCCTGTATTTTTGAAACTATTTCGCAGTTGTAACATATGTTTTTTTGCCCATCTGTGTGGTGGCGCAAAGTCAACTCTAGATATCGATTATTTGCCCGAAATGTCATCGATGGGCAGCGCAAATGTGGTAAGGCAAACGATAGTATCGTTTAGTTGCCATCGATTGTATTTGTAGCTCAGATTGTTTTGCAGATTGAAGCTCGGATGAGGAATATATAAAAATAGTTTTATTTTCTTAATTTTTATAACGTTTCATAAACGCATTGGAGCTGTGCAAGTGCAATAATTGTGAGTAATTAAATTAAACTTTTAATACAGCATGTGAGTGAAATTCAAAAACAAATTGCCGTAAACGCCTAAACATTTTTCACTTGCGTCGGAAGTTTTCTTTCTCTCTCTCTGCGCTTCCAATTTTTTTTTTTTTGTTGTATTTTTCGATGCTGCTTCGTAATTGTCTTGTATACACGCTCGCTCTCTTGGCTTGCGCGCGTGTGTGTGCGTGTGTGTAATTGCTGATGCTGCTGCTGTTGTTGTTGTTGGCTGTGGCTGGTTGGAAAATAATTAAAGCAAATAAGTGTACAACTCCAATTTGTTGCACATTTTCAAGTGTCGTAATTACAGTGCATATATAAAACTGACCAAATCTGTGAAACTCTCTCCACATACTCTCTCCATCTTTCTCTCTGTGTATGTGTATGTGTATGTGTTGGTGGATGCTGTTGCTGCCAAAGGAGCATTAGAAAACTTTTTTTTTTTTATTGGATGCCATTCGCAGCATCCACATACACATGTACGAAACAAAGTCAAGATAAACGAACACAACGGGAATTGAAAGCGGAATCGGGAATCGGTAAAGCCGAATCGACCACTGGCGTCTGTGAGCGCTGTTTGCTCGTTTCTTTTGCTGCCCACTCGGCCGCTTCTTTGTGCGCAACTGCAGGTAATCAGAGTTCACCCCTCCCTCCTCCATTAACTCCCCCGATTTGTGTCCTACAACTTGGCTAAAACTCAATGAAGTTCATAAAATTGGCAGCCGATTGGAGCCATTAAACATTCGCTGCACATGCAGGCCCCCCTTCCCCCCTCCCCTGCGCAGCGCCGTTACCGCCCTGCTGCTCGACGCTCTCTGCCCAAGAAATCAACAACAACAAAACAGAAAGAGAGGCAGAGAGTTTTAAGCAAGGGTCGTCGTCGTTGTTGTTGTTGTTGTTGTTATGAAAGTTAGAGTTGGCCCTTGTCGTCGTGCTGGATCTCGTGACACGTAGGACGACATGCTCTAGTCTAAAATTTAAATTTAGACATGTTTGTGCGTGTCCGTGTTCGGCAGTTCGATACATAACACAGAAATAAAAGAAAACAATAGCATCAAATTGAAAATTCAATTCAAAATTTAATAGGAAAGCTTAAGAAAATAACTCGTAATTAGGCAAAACAAAATTTTAAAAATATCAAATATGCTGCCCAACTCTGAATTTGAAAAACAGATCATGTCATGAATGTCATGTCGTTTAGTATTGATGACACGTTTGATCCTGCGTGTTTTCATATTGTGGTTTATGTGAGAGCAACTCGACGGCTCCCATCTCTAATCATAGTTGTTTCTTTTGTTATTGCTGTTGTGCAGCCCGGGATGGAATGTACACACATTGTACAGGAAATCTGTTGCTGGGAACGTTTAAACAACTCAGCGTGAGACATTTTGATTCTGCGTGCTGCACTTGCAGTTGCATTTACCAGGCCTTTTGCAGATGAATTGCGCAAAAGGTGGCAACGCTGTAGCTGGAACGCGACTTACAGCAGCCGCAGAACAGCAGCAACTGTGTCGCATATTTGTGTAATTCTTGTATAGCCGGAAAAACTCAATTAAAGGTTGAGTGTTGTGGCTTTTTATTGAAGTACACACCCACATACACACACACACATATACATACACGCAATTGACTGCAATCGCTTGTAGAATTTGTGTGTTCATTCACAGAACTCGGAGAGCACTCGCTTCTGCAAAATGTGTTAGCAGAGGCAGCCAAAAGAGCAGGATAACAGACGACAAAAATGCACAGGGCAAACGAGGACCACAACAACAACAACAACAACAACAAAACGCCACCCACATTACACATAACTGAATAGTGACTCGCTCTCACGTTTTTTTTTTGCTGCTGCCGTCTCTGCTTACGCTCTCGCAACAACGCGCGCGCGCCTGCTCACACAAACACACACACATACACACTCGTACGCCAGCGCTATCTCGCTCACACATTGAAACGGTCTGGTCAGTTGTGCTCTCTCTGTTTCTAGCTTAGTTGCGTTTGTCGCAGCAGCAGCGCAGCAGCAGCAGCAGGCACAAAAGGATTTTCCAATTTCTGCAGACACTTTGCAAGAAACCAAAAAAATAATAATAACCAAAAAAAAAAAAAAAACAGAAACAACATATTTCAACAATATAATGTTGTTAAATTAAAGGTGCGCGCGTGTGTACAAAACAAATGAATAATTGCAAAATTACATATGAAATTTGTGTAAATGTTATAAGTGGAGCAGCAGGGGCGCTTGCGGAGGGTGGGGGCAGGTGGTAATTTGCATTTGACTGCGCCGGCTGTGTGTGTACGCTAGGCGCAGGCTCTCTGCGTACGAGATGTCCGGTCGTGGATGTATCCCAGTGTGGCCAAAGTCACAACTTCTTCATCTCGTTGTTGTTGTTGTTGTTGTTGTTGTTGTTGTTGTGTTGACTTTTATACCCTGTAAGCAGTAAAAGGGAAACATGCCAGTCGCACTTTTCGTTAGTTCTCAAAATCGACCAGAACTTGGGCATATTCAAGTTGGGAAACTGAAATCTTGAATAAGTGAGTGCGTTATAATCCAAGGATATTGATTATTTGTAAGTTAAACTTTCAAATGTTTATCAATTCGTTAAGTCGTATTCATATATTGGGATCTATAAGAACAGCTCGGGAACTTGACGATTCTTCCTGCCGAACCTAGCATCCGGAAAAGGATTTGAGAATAAATATATGAGAAAGAATAGTATATAGAAGATCTAGTTAATCCTTGAAAGAATTCTGGAATTCGACTTTTGTTAAGATGATCAACTATTCTGCATTTGCCTAACCAATTGTGACAACGACTTGATTGTATACCCTTTCTCTTTGTGCAGGTACAACAAGATGCGTCAATTCAACATTTCGGTCATTGGACTATCCGGGACCGAAAAGGATCGCGGCCAGGTTGGCGTCGGCAAATCATGTTTATGCAACAGATTTATGCGGCCAATGGCCGATGATTATTTTATAGATCACATATCAGTGCTCAGCCAGAGCGATTTTAGCGGACGGATTGTCAATAATGATCACTTTCTATATTGGGGCGAGGTGCGCAAAACAACGGACGAAGGCGTTGAATATAATTTCAATATTATTGAGCAAACCGAATTCATGGACGATTCCACATTTCAAGCGTTCAAAGTTGGCAAAATGGATCCATATCTGAAACGCTGTACCGCCACCAAAGTCTTCTCGGCGGAGAAACTCATGTACATATGCAAGAATCAGTTGGGCATTGAGAAGGAATATGAACAGAAGGTCATGCCCGATGGCCGGCTAAGCATCGATGGCTTTGTGGTTGTATTCGATGTGAGTCCGGTGCCAAATCGCAGCGTCGAGAAACAGGTGGAGTTTGTCCAGAATGCCATTGCCAATATATTGAAGAACAAGAAGCCGTTGGTGCTGGTGACCACCAAAAATGACGACGCCTACGAGCTGTATGTGCGCGAGGCGGAAAAGATAAGCCAGCGCAAGGACTACAAGAGCACCGTACAGCTGATCGAGACATCGGCACACGAGAGCATCAACATTGATTTGGCCTTTCTGATGCTCGCCCAAATGATTGACAAGGTGAAGAATCGCGTGAAGATCATCTCGTATCAGGAATCGGCCAAGTCGCGCAAGGAACTGCTCGATATACGCTCCGAGGCCGTGACACGGCTGATACGCAACCAAATCACAGACTATCACATATTGTGGTCGCAGGGCTCCAAGATGCTATCGCAGTTTCGCGAATGGAACGAGTTCCTCAACATATTCGGACACGAGGCCGGCCAGAAGCTATTCCGTCGTCACATGAAAAAATTGCGCGACGATCATCTCAACAAGAAGCTGCATCAGTATTTAGATAAATTCGCATTGGCTCTCGAGTATTTATTGCCCGATATTGGCGCCCTCAATATAAGCGACGACGATGCCTGGGAATGTGCCCGCAATTATCTACAGAATCATATTGAGTTCGAGCAGTATTTCTTTGAGTGTCCACAGGCCACCTGGACGGAGCTGCTCGACATGGACGAGGCCGAGGATGAGGCGCGCATACCGTTCGATGTGCTCGAGACTAATGAGGCGGAGACCGTATTTCGCAATTACTTGAATTCTGTGCAGCAGGACAAAAAGAAAATCGGGTGAGTTCGATAAATTCATCGAAAATTTATAGCGATTAATCGAGAGTAAAATATATAGAAACTAATCGATCGCAGTAATACGGAAAGTTGAAAAACAAAAAGATTGAGAAGCAGCTTTTTAATTCAAAGATCATTTTCTAACTAGTTCTTTTAATTATTTTCCATATATCGATTATAATGTATGCTATTATCGATCAATATATCGATTATATTGTATGCATTTATCGATTATTTAGTTGTTATCAATTTAGCTATAAAATTAGCTAGATAATTATTTATATTCATTCTCTTTTTGAATACTCTCTAGCTATCTGGGCAGAATCTATAGACTCTATCTCTTCTACAGATTTATACTTCATATATTTGTTATCGGGCTCCCGATAAGCTTCC